CGACGCCCCGGCTTCCACACGGCTGCCTGCCTTTTACCCTGCTGGAGCGAAGGTGGGGGGGGGGGTGTAGCAGCCTGGCCTTGGGCGGGCCAGCGCGGCCCGCGCGCGCCGCGGACCGCGGGGCTCCGGAGGCCTGGGTTCCGGACTAGGCCCCGACGCCCCGGCTTCCACACGGCTGCCTGCCTTTTACCCTGCTGGAGCGAAGGTGGGGGGGGGGGTGTAGCAGCCTGGCCTTGGGCGGGCCAGCGGGCCGCACCGGGCCGCTCGGGCCGGGGATCCTGCCGACGGGTCGGGGTGGCACCCTGGCAAGGAACAGGTGGTGTGGCCGAGGCACGACTCATTCATTGCTTGAACGCGCTTCTCCCTCCGCGGCCCGGCCCTCCCTCTCTTCCCTCCCCACCTGAGATTTCACCTGTCCCCGCCCGGCCGGGGTCACCGTAGGACCCGAGACGGGGGGGCGGGGGAGGATGGAACAGGGCAGGGAGCTTTGCAGTCGGCCACCTCCAATGTAGTCGCTTGCAATACTTGACTCTGCAGCCCCTGGGCCTCTTTTTGGGAGTGGAGTGGGGGGGCACCCATTTCTTAGTTGGAGAGCAAAACAGCCCCACCCCGCCACCCTTCTCCGGAGGTGGGACTCATTTCTAGGGGGCGGTCCGGTAGGAAGTTCTAGTGCAGACTTTTCTTACACCGATGCAAAAACTTAGTAGAAGATAATTAAGACATTTCTGAGATGGATCTTGTTGACGCTGGCGCTGTGTTTCAGATGTTTGCAGTTTGCATGAAAACGGCATGCATTGATACTTGTAGGGGTACTGGATTGAACCTGTTTACATTGTAAACGATGCCCTGTAGTCTTGAAGCTGTCATTAATACATTGTAGCACTTTTTTCTGTCGTTGTTTGGTATTAGGTGTATGGGTCCTTTCTTTTACACAAACATTTCTTTGTGAAAGAATGAACTGTGTTTGCCAAATTTAAGACTTGAATTGGGGTGGTGGCGCATGCCTTTAATCCCAGCACTCGAAGGGCAGAGGCAGGCGGACCTCTGTTCGAGGACAGCCAGGGCTGCACAGAGAAACCCTGTCTCGAAACACAGGGGAAGAGGGGGGGAGAGGGAGAGACTGACTTGAATTTTGGAGCGTGTATGCTGGTGTTAGCCTTACAGCTTGCAGTTAGAATTCACTTGCTTGACAAAGAAATAGGGAGATCTAGGTTTTTGTTTTGTTTGTCTCTAAATAACTCAGCGGTTTAGAGCACTTGGGCTGCTCTTCCAGAGGTCTTGAGTTTAATGCCCAGCAACCACATGGTGGCTCACAACCATTTATAATGGGATCTCATGCCCTCTTCTGGCATGCAGGGATACATGCAAACAGAGCACGTAAAATACATAAATCCAAAATAACCATTTAATTAGTCGAGGTAACTAATTTTACAGAAATACCCATGTTATTATATAGATTAATCAATTTGTGTCGAAAAACATATCAGATAGTCCCATACTACTTAATGGTATTTTGTTTTCAGGCCGTTTGAAGTGGGATTATAGCATAGTTGTTTTTTTATTTTATTTTATTTTATTTTATTTTATTTTATTTTATTTTATTTTCTGTGTTGTGAGACCTCTCCCTGTCTGAAAAACAAAAACAAAATAAAAACAGATTTGGCAGCAAGTGTTTTTACTCACTGTGCCATCTCATCAGCTGAAGAGTAGTTGCTGCTGTTATTTCTGTGTTGAGATTTATCCCAGGGTTTGTGCATTCAAAGCAGGTGATCTACCACTGAGCTACACTCAATTATTTTAAGACCAATTGATGTGTAGGTAGAACTATAGCACAGTTTTCTTGCAACGTTTACCCACCCACCCCCTTGTCCCCTTATTTTTCCTTCTTATTTTTATAATGCTGGAGGTTGGACCCTGTGCTAAATACAAGTAGAGCCATGCTCACAACCCCTTCTCCCTGTTTATACTGACTAGGGGGAAAGAAACCTGAAAAATCGAGAGTACCAGAAATACACTTAAGTCTTTTACCTATATTTAACATATTGCCAAGATTACTTTCTCTTTCTGTACATATTTTGAAACAAAAGAAAACTGTATACTTACACTTCACTCCTTAGGAATAAAGACATTGCTCTGTATAGTTGTAATACCATTAATAGTTTTTTTGTAATATTCAAGTTTTCCAACTGTTAGTGACACCTTTTTATTGGTTTGTTTTTCTTTTGAGTCTTAATGTGTAGTTCAGGCAGGCCTCTATTTCTTAGTATTCCTCGGCCTTCCAGTACTTGGATAGCAGGTGCAAGCCACCATGCTGACGAAATCAATGTGCACCTGTGTATATGCACATGTTGGTTGTGACTCCAGGGTCGTGCACATGCTAGGCAAATACTCTTGACCACTGAGGAGTACATAACTCCTCCCCTAAAAATTATTTTTACTTTGAGAGAGACATAAAGTTACACATAGCTTGAGATTTTTTTGTATATTTTACCTACTTTTCCAAATATTAATATCTTATAAATCTTATAGTTGATTGTAACACTGATAATGTCTACCAATTTTATTCATATTTACCAAGTTTTACTTGTAGTAGTGTGTGTGTTTAGTTCTATGCAGTGCTATTATACGTGTAGATATGACAATTCTATGTCAACACAAAGGAGCCATGTGTTGCCCTTTTAGACCCACATCCACCTATATCCTTCTCATCCTGTCTCTTCTCTCATCCTCCAGCAACCATGACTAGTGTGTCTCATTGGAGTAATTTTAGAGAGTGTTTACTAAAGACAGTCATAAAGTATATAACTTACAGATTGACATTTCTTCAGTGCAGGAGAATTTCCTTACAGTTTATCTTAAGTTTTCACTTGTATCAGTAGTCTGTTCTACTTGATTGCAAAGTAATAATCCACAACATAGACTTAGTAGAGTTGATTTAACCATTTATAGAATTGCAGTTCTTGGTTGTGATGGTGGGACAGAAACCTTTAATTTTATTACCAAAGTCACAATGCAAAAAGATTTATTATTTTAGAACATTTTATTAATTGTGTGTGTGTGTGTGTGTGTGTGTGCGCGCGCCTCATGCCAACGCACACATGTATAGGTCAGAGAACAGTTTTCCGGAATTGCTTCTTTTTCCACCACTGGGGCCCAGGGTTGAAATTCAGGTCTTTAGGTGGCAAACACTTTTACTCACTAGCCTAGCCATTTTGCTAGCCCAGTAAAGGATTTATCGTGATAAGACCAGACCATAAACAAGAAAATGTGTAAATCACTAAGTGAAAGAAGAAAAGGAGATACAATGTTTTTATTGTTGACAAGCATTAGGAATGAAGAAAATGTTACCAATCAAAATAATAGTTTTGTTTCAAAAGTGCATCTCTTCCAGCTTTTATGGTGTTAGCTCTCGCTTTTTTCTGAGACAGGGTAGGAGTGGGATGGGGTGTCTCACATAGTTGTGACTGTCTTGGAACTCACTGTGTAGACTAGGCTGACCTCAGCCTTACAGAGATCAACCTGCCTCTGCCTCCCAAGTGCTGGGACTAAAGGTGTGGGCCACCATGCTGGGGAGTACTCTTAATTTTTAAGCTTCCTCTCCTCCCCGTTTTCTTGTCTGGTCAAGGGAAAGTTGGGCACACTCTAGTGCTGAAATCCAGTGTTGGTAGGTTGGCATCAGCAGCACTCTTGTTGTGGTGTCCCATACTTAGGAAACTTACACAGGCCAGTTCATACTCTACAGGAACGTTTATCCTTAATTTCAGAATGACGAAATGTTTCTGGCTTACTGGTTTAGTGGAAACTAGTGCAAGTATGACTTTGCACAATCTCATAATTCCTACAGTGAAATTACCTGGCTTAGTTTAGTTTGTTTGATGCCTGCAATAACATTTGTGGCGTATTTGCCCCTCCCTTTCTCCACATTGCTGTGTTTTCTGACTAGGTATTGTTAGCATTTGATAAAAATATCTTGTCTCTAGTTCATCTAGAGAGAAAGAAGGTAAATTTGATGTTACAAATATGTGTACATTGTATTATGTGAGATTTTGCTTGATTGCTTACTAGTCCTTCCTTTTAAAATTTCACATCATTTTAATATTTTAGAAAGCTAAGTCATTAGAAATTGTGGCCTCTGTGTACCTTTTGTGCTGTTTGGTCATCTATATCAGTGGTTCTCAATCTTCCTCATGCTTCAATTCTTCATGTTGTGGTGATCCCCAGCTATAAAATTATTTTTGTTGCTACTTCATAACTCTAATTTTGCTGTTGTTATGAATTGTAATGTAAATATCTGTGTTTTCTGATGGTCTTATGCAACCTCTGTGAAAGGGTCATTAAACCCACAGGTTGAGAAACACTGAAAAAGTTTGAGGATTGCCTTAGAGCTTTACATCACTCTCTTTTTGGTTCAAGACAGGGTTTCTTTGTGTATGTAGCCTGTCCTGGAACTCGCTCTGTAGACCAGGCTGGCCTCAAACCCAGAGAGATCTGCCTGCCCCTGGCTCTAGAATGCTGGGATTAAAGATGTGATCCACCAATGCCCAGCTTTACATCACTTTCTTGGGATTTGGATTTATGGTAGGAAAGATGTGCTTGAAAGGTGTGGCCAGAACTCAACATCTTCCAGATTTTAGCCTACTTGAAAAGTGGAACCTCCTTAATGCCTAAAATCACCAAGCTGGTTGTTGGTACTGCTGCTTCCTTCCTTCTCTTTTGCTCTTTATATGTTAATGTGAGTCATAAGAATATAAAATCCAAGTTG